CAATAACCATTTCAGATCAATTTGATCATGATTTAGAGTCCGATCCACAAAAGAGTTGCGAGTAAGACATTCCGTTTGTTTACTTTTAATTTATTTTTTTGGTTATTAATTGTTCTTTTAGAATAAGTATTCTCAAAAGCTCTATTTAGTACTTTCAGTTATTGTATAAGGAATATAAATTTAAATTTATTATTTTACTTCCGCACTAAATTTATAATTTATTACATTTGGAATTCATGAGCCATTACAAAGTACATATATTTCATTTAATTTATATATATAAATCTCGATATTGATTTTTTTTTTTAAATTTAAATTTTAATGAATAACAGTATTTAAAATTTTATGTTAATATATTTATAATTATAGTTAATATTAACATACTAATTTTATTTTTTATTTTTTAAAAAATTAAAAATAACACATTTTTAAAAAAAATTAAAGAACGTATTATCCATATCTTATATATATATATATATATTTACCATATGTTTTTGCTTATATATTTAAAGATATCTCATTTATTTTTATTTACTTTCCAAACTCCCATCTATATACTTGGGTTAGGGTTTTTGCACTTACGTTTCAGGGTCAGGTTTAGAGAGAAATTTGTAAGCAGACCCGGTACTAGCCAGCGGCTTCTTCATACCGTCTCCTAATCGTCACGGCAGCGGCTTGGCGGCTCTTCCCTTCATCCAAGCGAAAATTTCTTCCTCCTCTTCAGTATTGTACTTCTCCCTTGTCTCTCTGAAAGTTGGAAGCAGAGGCAGCTTGTGGCCGTAGCCTTCTCAGTTCTTCACAGCAGCGGGGCTTCATATATTCTTCGCAGCAACAGCTCATATATTCCTCAAAAAACGGCTCCTCTTCTTCCCAGAAGCGGGTTTCTTTCTGCTGCTGTTACATTTGTGGTTTTTGTGACCAGTGTGCTGTTTATGTATATGTCTTTTATGTATTTCTCTCCATGTAATCTTTCAATTCATACAGACTGAAAAGGCAGATTTAGTGTTAGGCAATTGATAAATTTCTTATTCCTTTCTGGTTGCAGTTCATAAATCATGTTGAAAATTAAAACTCCGAAAAGAGGCAGAGACAAGCGCGAGCTTGAAAAGCGTGCCCCGAAGCCCGTAAGTTTTCATAGCTATTAAATCCTTTACACATGTCCCATTTTTGTTTCTTGAAATAAATAATTTAAGTAGAACAGTTTCTTTCTTAATTTTCAACTACAAAAGAGGCGAACTAGCTTATTAATTTGATGGTGGCTTCATTGTGTTTGCAGGTGGAAACAGGGAAGAAGACGCTGATCCTTCATGGCACAAAGACGAGCAGCACCTTGAATGCCGTGTTGACAGAAATTTATAATCTCAAGAAAGACAGTGCTGTGAAATATTCCCGGAAGAACGAGAACATTAGACCGTTTGAAAGTGGGGGCGAGACTTCACTTGAGTTCTTCTCCCGCAAAACTGATTGCAGCATCTTCGTGGTAAGTTTGCAAGGGAAAGACAGGGATTTTACTCGTGATTGTGAATGCGTGTATTTTTCTTCAACATTCTTCTGTCTTACTATTTGCTGTGTGACACCTACATTTTTGAGGTTGGATCCGGAAGTCAATGTTCTAGTTTTTCCCTAGGTTTTTCTCTATGAAATTGGCAGGCCATTTTCCTTAAATAGATTTTCACATAAGGGCTCTGTATGGGAAAGTGGAAATGGAGTGAGATTGAGGTTATTTAGTATCATAAGATAGTTGGAAGAGAGAGGACTAAACAAAAATGATGCAAGAGAGATTTTATTGTGAAGTAAACGACATGGTATATAAACCACTATGTTTGAAGTGCAAGGATTATGAGGGTAAGTAAAGAAAATGAATTGGAGGCTCATCCGCTTATTCACTTGTTTGAATTAAAAAAAAAGTAAGCACGTCGATGGTGTATGGTGTATATGTATCTCACATATTTCTTAAATAACTCTATTTTTTTTTTCCATTCCTTCAAATTGAGAAAAAAAATGGGGAACAAAATTGCTTGAAAATTTTAAAGAGAATTTTTTGTTTTATTCTTGCTACCTAATTTCCCTTTTACTAATAATTGGCGGTATTGACTATTTTGTTCTAACTAATAATTTGTTTTTCTTTATAATAAATCAAACAAAACACCATAAAAATCACTTCCTTTTCTTTATTTTTTCAGTTTTTACTTAGGAAGTACTTTTCATTTCCTTCCCTTTTACAAACAAATCGTTTTGTTTCTTTTCCTCTACTTTCAATTAGTTCTCTGAATCGAAACATAGTGAAAGATAAATTTGGCTAATTGGGAACTGAGGGAATTAAGATCTGATTGCATAACAAAATTGACTGGGAATAGGATTTAGGGATCCTACTTAAAGATTGATAGCATCATGTAGTGATGCAGAACAAGAACAAGACTGTCAAGAAATTCTCTGAATTATCTCTATTTATGATGAAAGAAATTACAAAATATAAGCAAGCTCTAACTAAGCTTTATCTGATTAGGATTAGAAACTGTAGTACAAAATATGAATTTAAGCAATAAATAAAATACTGCTAGTCCTGCTTTTACCCACACCCTTATAGAAGATATGTTTGAAAGAAGAAAATTTCCAAATCTATTTAGAAGCCTAATTGAGTATTATTCTTCTTTATCATGGAGAGCTAACACAAATTAAAACATCTAGTCTAGGTTAGAAATTACTATCATTATTGAGGGGGTGATTAACATGTATGTTTGGGACAATGTTTTGTATACCTTGCTCATTTAGATAATTTTCACTTAATTGGTGCAAATCTGGGTTTCTGGTGTAAGTAAATTCCCTGATAATTTAGGGGAAATCTGGAAGGTCATGACAGCTGAAAGAATTTGTGAATAATGGCATCTGAAGATCCTTCTGTTCAATCTTCTAGATTTTGACAATGTATTATTTGCTTCCGGGTTATTTTCTTTTCTAGTGGTTTCTGCAGGGGTTTATATGTTTTCTTTTTGCATTTTTCTTGCAGTATGGTTCACACTCAAAGAAACGGCCTGACAATCTTGTAATAGGCCGAACATATGACCATCTCATTTATGACCTTGTTGAAGTTGGTGTGGAAAATTTTAAATCAATGGTTTCGTTTGCATATGATAAGAAAGTAGGTCCAAAAGTAGGATCAAAGCCATTCATTGTTTTTATTGGGGAAAATTTTGAAAGCATACAAGAGCTGAAACATTTGAAAGAAGTTTTGCTTGATCTATTCCGGGGAGAGGTATGTGTCTCTACAGCTCCTTGCTCTTATTTTTTTCTTTTTAGTTGAAAGGATATTTTAGAAACAATCTAAATAATGCAGGTAGTTGAGAACTTAAATCTTGCTGGCGTAGACCGAGCTTATACATGTACTGCAGTATCTTCAAATAGGGTGTTGTTTACTCACTGTGCACTGCGGCTTAAAAAGTCTGGTACTATAGTCCCAAGAATGGAACTTGTTGAGGTAGGCCCATCTATGGATTTGGTTGTTCGTCGTCATCGTCTTCCAAATGAAATACTAGTGAAGGAAGCCATGAAGACAGTTAAAGATCAAGCCAAAAAGAAGGTTGACTGTCTCGACCACCTGTTAAATTTACCTTCACTGCTCTTGTTAGGAGAATTGAGTGATATGTCCTGATGCAAACTCTATTTGCATGTTTGCAGATAAAAAATGTTAGTCAGGATCCATTACAAGGGAGGATTGGAAAGATTTATATTCCCGATCAGAAGGTAACTGGATTATTATCCATTTGAAATATGATTCTGTTAACTGGGAACTTCATTTGTTTCGTGGAGCAAGAGACTTGGCTGCATATCAGTGTTGTTGTGTTGCATTGTTTTATGCACATTGATTTGTTGTTCCATTTTAACTGATAACATTATTCATGCAGGTTGGAGAAATGGCACTACCTAACAAAGCAAAAGGTGTGAAGAGAGAGCGTCGTGAAGCTAAGATGAAAAATGACGGCAGAGAGCAACCATCCAAAAAGCACAAGGAAGAAGAGTCTACATGATTCATTGGCCTTCTGGATTTCTGTTGTATCCAACACCGCTATCTTGCCTTGATGTAATTTTGGAATTTGCCTTGGGGTTAAAATGGAGATGAAATGCCATGATGGCGACACAGATTTTTCGGTTGGGCATGGTGAAATGCTCGATCCATAGAATTTTGCACACACTAAAAATCCAAACTTATCCTTTTATCATAAATTAAACAAATTGAGTTGCATTCAGAATGCAGGAAGTTTCTGTCCGGTATCACTGGATAAATATATCCTGTTCTATAATATTTATAGGAAAAAAGTTGAAAGAGCCGAAGGAAAAGAGGAATGTAGAGTTCAATTGTCGTGTTTGGTCTTAAGATTTACTTGTAAAATGTAAGTTTGAGGTGCTTCTGTGCGGATGGAATTTATTGCCTTTTTCTGCGCTAGAAATGGCTTATGATGGGATATTATCTTAACCCAGATGAAATAAAGCAAAGTGGAAGATGTGAAGCGTAAGTGATCAACAGCTTATGGTTAGTTAAGACATATTATGCGCTAATTTTGCTTTTCTGGAGGATTTTACTAGATGTGGCTATATATTTTATTATTTTATTGTTACATTTGCTAATGTTATTTTTACTATTATTTTTATATCTTGTGCGTTACATGGTAACAAATATAGTTAAAAAGGCTAGTATAATTTTATTAGCTAATATCATATTTATTACTATCCAATAAAATAACATTTAATTTTTAAATGAAACTCTAGTTCTCTCAATCTTTTGGTGGATTCTTATTGGCATTGGTTCAAATTAATGCACCTTTTGACCTTCTGAATGGCTTTTCTGAATTTGACTCATTTTTCTCTATCTCTTGAAGCATCTTCAGTCATTGCTAGATAGATTTGTTGTTCTTACATCATCATCACTACTATTCTTTAATGAGGTAAGAAAGAACCCAAAATTTCGCTTCTTTAGAACTCAATATGCCTTATTAAAAGTCCTTTATTATATTTTTCATTAATTTTATCAAGATTTTTTTTATTGTAACTTAGATAGATAATATTTGCATTCAAAAACATGAAAATATCTTATATTGAACTTTTTCCTTTTGTCATAGGCACTTCAACTTTTCATAATATAAGGAGTGGTATTAACCATTTCAGCCTAGAAACATTTAGACCGAACAAGTTATTTGACATGGAAGGGGACGAGAAATGATCATTTTGATTCCCAGAACCTCACATAACGTATTAATCAGAAGATTTAACCACCTAATTTATCTTTCCTACTTGAATTTATACCCACCAATATGATATAAAAAATCAAGATGATAGGGAAATAAAAATAATAAAAAAAGACGTCACAGCTTATTTGATAAGTCGATCCCAATTCATTAGTTTAACAAGTCTTCGTAAGCTCTCCAACTTGAAAAAACTTGTAAAAGTCTCTCAAAATTAGCCAAAACAAATTTAGAAATAAAGCAAAAACTTTAAAATTTTATTGAACTCAAGTTGTGATTACAACCTAAGGATGGAAGCCTTTATATAAGCTTTTATTGACTAATTTGATTCAGAGTAAGATTCCAACTTTATACTAGGATTCTTAAAAAATAATTTAACTAGAACTCTTACACAAAAATATTAAATTAATTAAGTCTTTATCTAGACTTAATAAAATACTCAGAAATAATTAAAATAAATATTAAAACAATCTTCTCTCCTTATCTAGATTTCCATGTGGCTTGATTTTCTTTGGACTTTTAATTTGAGAAGAAATTTTACTTCAATTTTGGACTTTAAACACATGTCAAAAGTTGTAGAAGTCTCTTGCTGTAGGAATCTTTGGAAAATTAGGAAAAAAAGTGAGAAAAGGAGTATAAAAAGACTCACTTTGTGGCTGCCCGCCAAGTCCGTGCGGGTAGCATGCAAATGACATGCGGGTCGCGTGCTCCTAGCACATGGATGCTCCTTACACTCGCGCGGTCGCTTGGGTGTGTGCCTAGGTGTTCCCGCACATACGCAAGGGCTGCACATGCGTTTGGGCGTGTGGGTGCACTAGTGCGCGCATTGTGGCTTACGACTGTTGCTGCCCACATGCGCCGTGTGCTTCTCTGCATGGGCAAAAAATCCTGCATGTGCAGGTGCCTTAACACGCTTGTGTATATGGCCACACACGTGTACCTAATGGGTACCCATATCCAAATTACGTTTTGGGCTTCCACTCGGGGTGGGATTCGTGGGTCGAGCCTCTTCTTGACCGTAAGGCCTAATAACTTCCTCGTTTTTTGTCTTTTCTGATTCTTCCTTTTCTTAGGTCGAGGTTCATACCCATTTAATTCCTTTTTGGTTCCTGACTCACTTTTCTTTAGGTCCTAGACTTGGATTTAGGTGGATCCAGCTTGAGTACTTTCAGTTTGAGAATACTTCTTAGTGTATCATAGAAACACACTATTGAATGATTGTTTCCGTTATTTTGTTGTCATAGGGATCTCCTATTTGTCACAAGAATTCTTCTCATTTATTATCACATCTGAATGTTCTTGCACGAAGAGACAATTTTTAGTCCCTATTAAGGCATTGTCTTCTTCTGCATGCCATCCTGCGAACTCATCATAGGCTTCTTAATCTTAACCTGGTCTTTGTATGCTTCTCTCCGGGATAATGGAGTCAGAACATGAGTTAGACCTCCCATGCATATAAAATAGTAATTTTTTCCACCAGCATGATTAATATTCCTGTTGTACTGAAATGGTCTTCCTAGTAATAAGTGCTCTACTTACATAGGAACGACGTCGCACAGTATCTCGTCCTCATACTTAACCAATAGAAAACAGAACTCGTACCTACTTAATGGTATTGATCGATCTCCTTACTATTATCTAACTAATATAACTTATAGGGATTAGGGTGCGACATACAAGGTAACCCTATCCTATCTACTAGCAAGGTGTAACATCTCGAAAAGTTTTATACTTAATTGTATTATAAAACCCTAATTATTTGGGCTATAAGACCATTTGAACTCTTTAAAATTTCATACTTTAATTTTCGAATGAAATTTAATTTACAACTTTTCGTATTTATTGGTTATTTAGTTTAAATAATAGTTTTTAAAATTTATTTTTTATATTGGTTTGTTAAAAAGGTTTAAGGGAAAAAAGAGGAGAAGATAGTGGAAAAATTATGCGAAAAAAATGCTCGCGAAAAAAACCCTCCACTCGTGTGGGCCCCCATGCCGCTCAAGTATTCGTGTGCGCGGCCAACTCAAGATGTACGCTTGTATGCACGTCCCATCTATGTGGGGCACAGGGCGCGCAGTTTATGCATGTCACATAGCGTGCAGATGGGCACACGGCTCCGTGTGCCTTGTGTGCGTGCCTGCACGCAAGGTAGGTTGGGGCAGCGTGTGCTGCCTCAGGTAGTGCGCGCTGCCCCTAGTGCAGCGTATTGATGTCGGTTGGGCGACGTGCCGTCATCAGTTGGGTGGCGTGCCACCATCGTTTGGGCAGCGTGCCGCTGTCGTTTAGGTTGCTTGCCTCTAGTTTTCACATCATTGTCTTGTCGCCATCATCACATCAGCCATCCATCAGTCATGTTCGTCAATCATCATGTCGTATCAAGTAACTTTTTACTTTCTTCTCTCTTCACAAGATTTCACCACTTCATACAAATCTAATAGTCCCCATTTTTTATAAATTGGGACCCCTTTTCACCATTTCCTCATCACTCCAACTTCATTTTTTCATCCACCAAAGAGTTTTAGAGAGAGTGAGCTAGAGAGAGAGGGGGAAGAATTAAAAGAAAGAAAGACATAGGAAGACTCCAAGATTTCAGCAAGGAATGAGCATTTATTTTTAACATAGTAAGGAGTATTTCTATACTAAATTAATGAAATTTTAATTGATTGGTTGTATGCTTAAATAAAAATTATTAAATGTTAATGCATGGTTATATGAACGTATATAAATCGATTATTTGCATGTTTAACTAAAATAATTAATTTGCACGTGATAAATGTTAATGAATGATATATTGTACGATGATGAAGTAACGAGCATGATGTCATATTATAAACATGAGAGATATGTATCGGTATTGCATGCACGGTTCATAAAATATGTTCGTTAGGCTTTTTATCTCTTAAAAGTTTTCTATTTCTTCCCCCATTTGGTCTGAAAAGACGTGAAAGAACCACTCCTTGTGGATGATGGGTATCCTCTAATGAGAGTAGTGATGCGATATGATTGTAGGGATCACTTTTGGTGAAGTACAACTATAACCATAGTTTACAAGTAAGACCACTGTGGTTGGTACAACCGTGGTCATATATCGTGTCATGGTTTGACAAGCTGTAAATGTACTGTTGGTTTGGCAAGCCGTAAATTACTAATATAATGTGAAATGAATTGGTCATTTCACATGGGTAGTCGGAAATTAGTATTTGCCCTCAGTAGATAGAAGTCGGAACGACTTCGCACGAAGAATAAAAATGAAATAAAGAGCATGCCATGATTTGTTTGATTTTCTTTACTTTTAGCATGATTGATTTGATTGACATGATATGACTATAACATTATGGACATGATATTTTCTTTAATAAAGTAAATTATTTTCTTAATTAATGAATAGACCCCTAACACAATTTTCAATGGTAAGTAATTATGATACTATATCTCAGTTTAAATTATTTTTGAAATCTTGGTGATGTTATTTAAATATTACTTTCCTTACTGAGTTTGTGAAACTCATCCCTTTCCATGCCCTCTTCAGATTAGGATGATAATGAGGAACTAATCATTGATCTACCCCTGGAAGCCTTCGAGGATCTCGTGGATTCGTGAACCGTTATGAGTGCATATTTTATCCTGCACTTTGATGAGCCCATCTTTTGTAGAGGCTTATAATTTTTTTGTTTCGACCTCGGTATTGTAATAATAGGAATTATATTATTATTTTTTGTAAGAGATTGTAATTATTTATTCTACTGCATATATCTACCTTATATGCATTCGTATATGTTTCTATTTCTAGCACCCTTATTCTTTAATTAACATTTGGGATGTCACACAAGGTGCTAGCAACATTAGTGCAACTGCCTCCATAAATAATCACACTACAGATATTTCCTTTAATGAGACAGTAGAAGTGGAAGATTATTTCCCTATGGTCATTGTCCTCTTAATTAACTTGCATGTTCAGAGTTTGTTGGGTCACAAACACATCTCCCTGAACTAGTTGGGCAAAATTTTCTTTACTAGCCCCAAATAATGACATGTCTTCCTATTCACTGTCGCTCTCATGATCAGTGATGACATCCCCATAATCTCGTATGATCATTGCCTATTGATTAGGATACTAGTATGTTATATGTGCAGTCCCCAGACACTTGAAACATTTTATAGTGCTTTCTCTTGAAATAGGTGCCTTAAGGTTACTTATTAGATTACTAGAAGGTTGTTTGTCCTTTTTTCTCCTAAACCTTCTTATTCTCATTCCTTCTAGACCATCTTTGATT